ACACGAAAGTTACAAGTGCCACATCAAAGAATTTTAAAATTTGGTCCGAAAGGGGTACGTGCCTACGAAGCGTGCGAGAATTATTTTGCCCAAGTTTGAGGAGATGTAAAGCTAGAAGGCTCTCTAGGTTGGTTTCTGGCACGAGCCAAGCGATATAGGCTTTGCATTTATGCAATTGTGGAAGAAACAAGTAGATATGAAGAGGTAAACGATTGAATCAATCTGATGGCTTCTAAACATACATATTCTACATCAGTCTCGTCAGTATCAAGTGTAAATAAGTGGATTATTACGTCTGATCGCCTGTGAGAATGGATCGACTTTGCGCCAGGAGAATCACCCGGGTGTTAGAAATACCATTCACCCCCCGGATAAAAGTTCAAGCAAGCAAAAGTGGTGGAAAAGTTCGACACTGAGAAAGCCACGATGCTGTTTGATTCCAACGCTGAGGTGTCTATCATTAGTACTATCATTTCTTGTCTGGTTGGGATGTGTGACCGACGACAGTCGAACGAAAACGTTCGTCGGAATTGGAGAGAACACGTTTATGACGGCAAGACGGACGAAGATCACGATTACTTTGGACAGATCGTTGGTTTAATAATTTTACATTGGACTGCTGACGAAGTCATCCTAAATGTCAAATTGGGTATGGAATACTTGTTTCGTTGAGAATCCGTTTGTACTTAGCCGACGGAGTATTATGTCTATGTGAAGCGGCATATTTCAAAATGGCAGGACGTAAGCCACCTGATCGATCGACGATACAGGCGATCCATCTGAAATAATTCAAATTTGGTTAAACCGGTTGGCGCGTCGACAAAAGCTCGTTATAGGGATATACCACGTATGCTAAGCTTTAGGTGAGGTGAGACGTGGCGTGGGTCCCTACAGTCACTAGTGTGCTCGTCCACATCAAGTATGTGCAGCTCACAAACCTCAGCGATCAGGAAATGATCAATAATCATGGAGCTTTGTTCAAAGGTGGGAGACATGGACATGACACCTGGATCACCAAGGTATGTATTTATCGGGTACCGGCGTACAGACTGTCGAACGCTAGGGTTTAGAGGACTATGGAACTAGAGGAAGAGACATGCAAAAGCATTCAGGGCCGTTGGTAAATTATCCATTGCATGAATTTTCACCTGATTTCTTTTTCGCCGGACGAGAGAAATTTCGAGGAAGAGCATGTCGCAAACAGAATAGAAAACGACCAATTAAAGTGAGGGTAAAGTCCAAACCATGGACGGAAGTTAATAGACAAGAACGGATCGGCGATCAACATAGTACATTCTGCAATCTGGACTAAAAGATACCGTAGACTCCAATCGTGAATGAGATGAGCCTAGTTAAGCGATCGAAGGTGTGAAGGTGATTGTGAGGGAAGAGACACGATATGGGGAAGCCGGTCCGTTAATCAAACGGTTTAGTCATTTGATGTACGCGACTGATATTAAAGATGGAGGTTTTAGGAAAAGGCCAATCGACGGACAAAAAATTTGGGAAATATTGGGATCAATGAAGAAACGACGAGATTTAAGTTAGCTTTTAAGTGGTGGAGTGGAATTCGTTCATTTTATTAAGCGATCCCGACTCTCCATTGGCGCCCAGACAATCGATTCACGAAGGGGTACTCCAAATTCGCTTGCACTTGTTTGCTTCTCACCTTATGTACCCGTCGGTAGTGCGGGTTGCACTCTTCTAGGTGGACTTGACTCGATGCTGAACTTAACCGGTTTAGAGATTGGTGTCGCCCGGGTGGAAATTTCTTACCCTATCAAGTGTTTTTGTTGGTGCTCTCCTTGGAGTCGCTGCGATCAGCCTTGATCGCCTTGTGTGAAAAATGGGGTACTTAAGTCGTGAGCCTTCTAACTACTTGATCCGTCTCGAAATCTTGTACTTTAATTAACAAGTAATACTACCTGCGTTCAATTGCAGCTGAGGTGTGTTGAAAGTCCTTGCACTCCTGGCCAAATTTTCAGGTGTAATCTTTCTGCCCTTGGTGTCAAAGTTCTCTGACGTCGGGAGGCCAAAATATCCAACCCGGAAGAAGAACGACACAAATGTGTTTAGAAGCGAATTGAACTCTGTGTAATGTTAACCAAATAACACTTAAAAGTACAACCACGCCTACTCCGTATGTAAAAATTTACCGCCACGTGTCTTCTCCATGCCTAATAAATATTCGATTCTTTTATAGCACGCGAACAACGCCAGTTTGCGGTCCTCTAATTGTGGTCCCTAGATATTTTTACAGTCCGGGACCGTGTGGACTAGATGAGGTTGAGCCCGTTGGGTCTGTCTCAAAAAACATCAAGATATACCAGCTATCATTCCACGAGCAATTCAGCCAAAACCACCTTGTGCTTAGCCGATTCGCCTAGACTTTTGGACCCGAACTTGATTGGCTTGACCACCATCGCCCCCGCACGAATAGCCGAACCACAACATCCAGCTTGCCATCTGTTCGATTCAGTGTGAAGACTAATTTTCGGCTTTTGTTGGCCTTTTCACAATCATTTTGGAAATCCCGTTTAACATACGTGAAACATGAGGCTTGCGAGAGAGTACACCTTACCCTCGAGAGGCTAACGATATGGAATTATTACACTTATTCTTTTCTACTTTCGTTCTTTTGCTCGATTTTTTCGCCTTTATGTCTTCTGCACCGGCCTATACCAACGTATCCATATGCGCTTCTGATGGCCGGTTGGCCTCCTCGAGCGCTCTCTATCCAGCGATAGTGATTGCTCTACAGAAGGCCATTCCAGTCTTACCAGCGGTGCGGCTTTTTGTGACGCGTCGGATGACTACGAAATTGGCGTGGATACAGGCGAAATGCCCCTCTCCCAAGTGACAAGCAACTGGTCATTGGCAAAGAAGCGGGACAGTCTGATTTTAAAATGTTTCCAGAACGTTCTTTACCCTTCTTTGAAGAACGGGTAAGCGATAAGATCTGGAAGTTGTAGCCACCAGACTAGGGTTGGAGGTGCACGCTCGTGCCCCCAAAAATTACCCTTCGGGGTCCGGAAAAGAGCTTAGCATGCGTTTATGAGCACCATCGCCTCACGGCGGTGACGCGGAGCTAGGCGCCACAACTTTAGGCTTGGGTTTTAATCTGCATCACCCTGTGCCTACCAAGTTTCATCGCGCGCCGACACCTATGGCACACGCGAGCCCCCCCCGGTCTCCCACACTAGTTTTGAGTACCGTTGATGACCGGGTAGAGGCCCGGCTTTCCACTGTTGGTACGACCGAAAGTTACTTAGGGCCTGTACTTGGATTAGGTTTAGGTGTCGTCGCGACTCGAGAACGTTTTCAAAACCACGCATCGACGACCACGGGCCAAGGCGCTGCAGTCACCGCCGGTCCTGCAGGGGCCCCAAGCTCCGCCGACGCCTGTTTCGCGCGCCGAATGGCTCTCTACCTAACGGACACTGCCGCCGCCTCCCAGAACTCCCATGATTTTTTTGTTGACCCGGCAGGACGGGCGGCATGCTGCCCGATGAGGTCGCGGTGTAGGCAGGCCAAGATCTTCAGAGCGACGGCTTCACAGGATCACAGGCGTCCTGCCCCTGTAAAGTCGTGCGCCAAGGCCCAGGACACGTCGCGGAGCGCTACTTCAGACGTAAGAGAGGCTCATCACACTTGAACTGATGATGCTGGGCCCGGCAGGACCATCAGCATGCGTCCCACCGGGTCCGGCATGGCTACCTACATAGCATCAGCTCTCCGGGTGCACGCAAAAAGCCCCTGGGGCTACAGGCATGAAAGACGGCTCCCTCCGCCTCCTTCATCAGCCCACCAGGTTTCTGTTGCTTCAAAGAACCCGCGAATGCTGATTTGCAAGCCGGTAGCGCGGAAAGTTTGCTGTATGACCGGTTCATAGATCGGTCCGAGCACATAGACGCTACGGCTCACACCCTGGTTGTTTCCCAAGGCCCCAGCGACCCCGAGAACAGGGGCAGAAGCGACGCGAGACCCCGACGACGACGCCTTGATGGACGACGACGCCGCAACCGCCCTCCCAAGGTTTGAAGACCGTCTCGGCCACGTAGCTTAGTGTGCGACATGGCAGGCAGCAAGACTTGCTCCGCCTTCTCCTATTCGAAACTCGCATTGTCGGCAAGCGTCGCCACCTGAATGACGAGGTCGGCGAGGACCTGCGCGAGAAATTTAAGCAACCGATGCGCGAAGAAAGTGAAATAGCCCCAAGACACTAGCGCTCTGACTATCCGCGGGCTGAGCACTTCCGGCCTCAGTCCTGGTCGTGTATGCACACAACGGGCGGCACTTTACGCGCACGCTGTGTGCACGGACGGCCTTAATATTTGCCTCGCTCATCTGCCACCGGGATTCAAGGCACCGCCGCATCGCCTTATTCGATCTCTTTTTGTAACTTTGTGCGTGCGACGCACCATTCGTGATGAGACTGGCTGCAGCAAACTACGATCGCGCGTGTGCCTTCCCCCACGTCACTTCGGTGATGCTACGCCAGCAGCAGAAGATCTCATGCCCACTGCTGATGAAGACAATGCCAACGCTACGTTGGCGGACACCGTACCCGTACTGCCCTGCCAATACCTTATTGTGCTCGCTGTATCCCCCCCACACATGCGAGTACCACTGACGACAGGAAGACAGCGTCAAGAGAGAGCCGTCCGATCTCAAGGTAATTGTTCGCTTCGCACGCAGCGTAGCGCCTCAACAAGGTTACTCTACCAATTGGGATTTCACTACCCCGCAGCGTGGTGGTGTCAAGTATTGTTGACCACCTCCTCCCGGCATAGTTAAATTAGGAGGACTAGGCCAAGGCTGGCGACAGCGACGAAGAGGACGTCAACGACGCACAAGACATGGATGGAGAGTAGCTGGTGATCTTTGACGGTGCCTGCATGGCAAACCCTGTCCCTGGCGATATTAACACTGCGCTGTTCAATCCAAGCATCCCCGTAGTAATTAATTTCTTCCATTACATGCCGAGCAGAAGCGACACTATGAACACGGCCGAATACAACGCGCTGCTGCTCGACACTGCCTCCGACCACGATATCACGCGCCTCCGAATTGAGGGTGACAGCACCCTTGTCATACAGCGGGTGCTTGGCATCTTCGCCACGCGTAACAATAGGATCCAGAAACTGCAGATAGCAGCCAAGTCAGAGCTGGCGAGGTTGCAGCACGTCACTCTCCGTCACATTGACAGGCAGGAAAATGGTCATGCCGACCGCCTTGCCAACGCCGCTCTTGACCGCTGCCGTACCGAAGTGAAGAATGGGGTGCATACCGATGGAAAGGTTTACACCTCTACCTCCACGATGGTACCTGCACCCGCCGCTGCACCCACAGCTGCACCTCCGCCTGCCACACCGTAAGTCGCGGTGGGCACCGGTATCCCCTTCAGCCCATCCGATGGTGATGACTTTGTGGACATCGATGATGGTGAGGTGTATGCAGCAATGAGTGTGGGGCCTGCTATAGTAACTCAGCACCAGTCGCGACCGCGACTATGTTAATGGACGAGGACGAACAAGAGACTGCTTACAATTTGGTGATACATCTGGCTGCAAAACTGGCTGCAAGAAAAAGTATGCAATGGAATGGTAGGAGGCGGAGGAATACATGAATGCCCTACCATAGACTTTGTATGACCACCTGCAACCGTTTATCCAAGCCCAACACCGAAGATATGCTCGCTCGGCTCACCCGTCAAGGCATGACGGCATTGCTCGGGACCAGGTGCCGTAGTCACTGGATCCTCTTAAGCGTCCGGATACAGGCCCTAGTGCTGGTGTTAATGGCTCTTATAACCGTCCTTCTCGCGGTAGTGGCCAAGCTCCTCGACGACGCCGTGGACGTTCAAGCGGGGCTGCCGCGAAGCCTTTACGGCTCTGGCCATCCCGGGTACCTAACACCAGCGGAAACATCGCTTAGACGAGGCGTTGGCTGTATAGATGCGGTAGAGCGCTCATCACCTGGTGATCGATAAACTATTAGTAAAGCACGTCGCCGAGTTGGCTGAACTAAGTCGGCCATCGAAAAACAGCGTATCCGCCGCAACTTTGATGCGGATGAGAAGACTTGTGTGGATGGAATCCTTACTTCATCCTGAGTCAAGTGTACTGCCGTTCTCTTTCTACCTACATTGGTGCCCACAGTGGAGAGCAGGGGGATGAAGTCGATGATGGCGTTTATCCCGTTGTAGGCGAACGCTTACGTAAGTTCTTCACGCAAGTAATCACAGCCGATCATACTTTTGATGTACTCCCTCCGTTTGGTGGACCATTTCGCATAGCATTTGGGATCAACTACCCTGCTGCGTCGTTGGATAGATCGTCTTCATGACGCTCCTTATGCTAATTAAATTGAAAGCCGAGTGCACCGGTCCCGTGGCAGCTCCAGCCCAGGACTGGATGGGATTGGGTACGACATCTACGTGATGCTTAGAGCCCAGCTCCAACCCGCTCTCCACGCAGCATTCGCGTATTGTTTAAAATTAAAGCGAGTCCCTGGAAGGTGGAAGACTGTTGTGGTGCGTCTGTTGTACAAGAAAGGTGATCAGTCTGACCCATTCAACTGGCGGCCGATCTGTCTGCAGCAGGCCATCTGCAAGCTTTACGCTTGGGTTTTTGCATGACGGTTCGCGTTCCGGATAGAATCTAATGGGCGGAATGTTGCTCTTTAGAAGGGCTTTCCGTCGCACATAAATGGCTTCGGGGAGCTCAATTACCTCGCAGCCGTGTTTGTTGACGAAGATCGGCACAATCACCACGGGCTGTATGTCGTGTGGTGCGACTTTGCTAACGACTTCGGCAGCGTACCACATGACTTGCTCTGAGATGTGCTACAATGTCAGGATTTTTCACCCGAGTTTATTGCCTGTTGCCATGGCCTCTACCCTGATGCTAACCTTTACCATCGGGAATGCTGTTGATCAGACCACGGCAGCGATTGGGCTATAGGTGGGAGTGCATCAAGTCTGTCCGCTTAGCCCTCACCGTATTTACATCTGAAATCGATTCCTTGCTTCACGCGCTTTTAAAACTTCTGTACACCGGAGTGAAGATGTTAGACGTTGATATCCTTGGTGCTTTAGCATACGCAGACGATCTGGAGATATTCAGCAGCATTGTGGATGGCATCATGCGTCAACACTCGACGGTCCAAGAATTCTTGCATTGGACTGGTACGTGTGCGAAACCTACAAATGCAGCACCATGTCGGTCCAGCGTGACATCCGAGGCTTGCATAAGACCCAGTACGTTAAGATGCTGCTAGATGGTATCCCAATTACGCGCTAAGAGCTGCTAGCTCATAGAAGTACTTGGGGATCGGGGATAACTTCGACCATGTCCGCCGCTGTACGGAGCTTGCTCCAGCGCTAACAGAGCTGAAGCACGATGCTACAGCTTTGTTGCAGTCTGGAATGAAGCCGTGGAAATTAAGGAAAGCGGTAAACGTTTTTTCACCCGCGAGTTGAGAACGTCAACCGGCATTTGAGGTCGTTACGCTAAACAGCCGGAGGGCAATACCACAACCCTTTTCGTGGTCTTCGTCTCTTGCTGCACCTACCTTCGAACGCCAAGACGGCGTTCTTTTATGCACCGGATTCTCGCAATGGTCAAAGGCTACTGCCCTCGATGGAGCTGCTCGGGGCTTTACAAGTAGTGCATGGACGACAGATGTTACACTCTCCTGACCCTGTTATCCAGCTTATCGCCTGTCAGCAGTTCCTCAAGATTGCGGATGTCCCTAAAAGCTGAATGCTGTGGTGTAGAAGGACCGTGAGATGACCTAGGTAAGCTTTTTCTCAGCAACAAGCTGGGGAAGTCCGATATAGCCTTGCCTAAGCGACGCAATGATGAATTTAGCTCCCTGTGGTTGGACGTCCATGGTCACCTCCACCGCTTCGGCTTTTGTTTGGAGTCATCGCCCGAGGTGGACGTGACTAGTACGTCATCAAAACCGTTGCAGCTTCGCGTGCTGCACCACTCCAAGCGGTTGGATCACAGGGATGTCTTACAGCACATGACGTTGCACCTCGAGAACAAGCACTGGAACAAGTGATCAGCTATGCGGGACCAAGAGAAGACGGCACGCACGCAAGGTGGTACGGGTAGTAGATATCTCACGAGGCTGCAAGAATTGTGGAATTCTGAATGTCGGTTCGTAGTGGCTGCCCGCCTCAACAACATTAAAACGTTTAGTGTGCTGACAACGCCGACGTCTCCTAGCGCATAACACATGCAGGCATCCCGGGTGCTCACGCTCAAAGACGCTGGCCCACATTTCATACGACTGCATCGGAACGATTAAAGTTGTTCGTGGTCACCACGACGACGCGAATTAGACCATTGAGCGCAATTTACGGTCGAGGCCTGGTGAACAGACGGACCGGGTGGAGCTTCGTGTCAACCAAACGGTCCATAAAGAGCGGGGCTGGTTCTACGGCCAGATCTTCAGATGCTCAACCACATCAAGAAGACAGTTGCTGTTGTGTGTCTCACCAAGGCGTTCATAGTACAAACCAGTGATAGTTCATCCACAAAAGGTTTTTTTTTTTTTTTTATTTTTTTTTTTTATAGTAAATATATATTTTTCTACCCTGAGAATGAACGAATTGGAAAGAGTAATAGAAAAGGGTTAAAAAGTTCAACAAAAAAAAAAAAAGAATAAATTTGATACAAGGTCTACCCTCGCGCTTGTGGCTGCCTAAAAGCGCACCGAGTATGAATGTGTCAAGCTACAACAAGAGCGTCAAGGTTGGACGGTTCACCTTTCCACGCTCGTCTATGGTTCGCTTGGTTCAGTCACCAATGGTAACCATGCGGTTTAAATCAGGCAACTTGGTATGATGAAGTGCGATGCGAAGCGGCTGGACAGACAACTTTTTGCTGAATGCATTGAGTCCAGCCGACGCTTTTAAAGCGTGCACTCCATCCAATGCTGCACAAGGCAACAAGGTCAAGTTCCACCGCAAGGTTCGGGTCCAGTACAGGACCAAGGTCGTAGACTCTCAAGAAAAGATGCAAGAAGCAGCTAAGTGACGAGAACCGGGTGGAATTGGACACGTCAAGGCCGCCCCCAAGCGTGTTTCGGGCCCATTGTGGCTGGCAGGGCCATACTCAAGTAGGGAACGCCCTTAAACCCCTTTGGTACGTCCAGTCTAGCTCTGTGTGGTGCAACCTCTGCCTTGATTAAAGGCTACACAAATTCTACAGGCTATGTCTATACTTCAGAAACCGACTAAATGGACGGTAATGCAAACACTTTTCTTTTGAATGTGTCAACACTGGTTTTCGACTTTTGTCGGTCTTTCCTCATTAAACTTTGGACTTTCTATCGAAGTAAAATGTTACTGAGACGGGCGGTCTCCGGGGCTTACACCATCCTCTCGAGAGGCCAGCCTACGTCTACTCTTTAATCAACTTTGTTTGTGTTAAGGCAACGTTAACGAGCCGCCATCCTTTCGTTTATCAACCATAACCTACGATTTAATAATAAAATTAAATGCATATTGAATAGACCTTGTGTTTGATTGGTCACGCGATCGTACAGCGTTACAAAAGCCTCTTCTTTAATTCTTTCATTGGAATTCGAATGAGGTGCTGCTAAATCACACGAAATTTTTTTGTGTGATCAGTATCGGTGGTGGCGGCAATACACATATGTGCTAACGTTCTTAAGATTCTGCCTTTCAGACGAGCAAGAAATGTAGTGCCAGATCCTATCAGAGCAAGAATAAGGAGGATGCTCTCGCTTCTCGACGCGTTTGTATACATGAACCAATCGTAAATGAGTCTATGTTGAAGCTGTACGGTTTAGTATTGACAAAGGTGGACAATTTTTCCTTGATTTGCGATCGGGAATATCGTGCTGTTATGTGCTACTTTATGTCCAGGACTCGGTCACAAGGCAAATAATGATGACGAAAATGGTAGCAAGTAGTTTGGTAAACTTAAGCTTCGTGATTGGCGCGATAAGAATAGGATACGCCGAAGCTCAGCTGATCATGCATCGCGACCGTTATCATTATATATGTAATTGACCAGACGAATGCGCTTTAATGCAGCTTATGTGGTACACTGGTGTTGCTTTGTCGTTTTTGTGTCGAAGTTTTTTTTATTTACGATCCAGTATGTATTTCGACTTGACTTATGCTTGCCAATGGCAATTGAACATTTTTGGTCGTTGCTCTAGGTATTGCTGGACATATCTAAAAATTAAATCTTTCCATTTTTTAAATAGCAGATTGTCTATGAGCATCTCGAGCTGGAATCGAAACACTGAATGAAACTTTTTCTATCTACATCAGTTGACGAAGAAATAGTTGTCTACAAATGAGAAGAAGAAATTATTGCAGTGACACTCAAAA